ATTTGAATTTCAAGATAAAGTAACCTGAACGACTCGAAACATGTTTCTTATAGGTTTTCGACAATGCTCTTTCCAGTGGCATCGTTTTTAAATATTGAGAAAGTTTTCTGAAGGGTTTTCCAGAGACAGGATTTCTAGAAAACTCCTTAGAAAACTTTTGCAAAACCCAACTCTCATGCCATTAGAAAGAGGGTCATGAAAAACCTATAAAAAAATGGTTCATGAAATTTTAGTTCACTTATAAAGCTAAAGTCCGCCTGCTCTAGCAAAAAATGCCCACTGTGCTAGGGTCTCTGTCCTATAAACATCAGTCTGAACCAAAAAAATTTTCCCATTCGCTCCTATGATTATATATTTGTTTCGTATCTTTTTACCGAAATGACACTGTTTCTTTAAATGCCTATATCAAAGTTTTTTCTCTACACTAAAACCCAAAAGTTGGAAGATATGTGAAAAATGGGTCACGCCTCCGAAAATAATCAGTCACAGTCAAGTCTCAGTCTATTAGGCCCTCAGCCTTAGTCCACTTCTAGGGCAGACAGAAATAGGGAAAACTTTCACAAAGTTTAGTGAACTTCATCAAGTTAGGGAGGTGACGCTTTGAAATTAATTCAGCTTGAAATAAGAAACGAACCAAATAAAAGGTTAATGATGAAAACACAATACAATGTACCTTGTCTCTACATAGTAACCTAACTTCGAGATAGAAAAAAATCACAAAAAAATTTTTTCTATCAGAAGAAAAAAATGCGCATGAAAGTGATTTTTTAAGTGTTTGTAAACACCATTTTCAGTCTTTGTGATATTCAGTGCTTATAAACACCAAAAAATCAGATTTTGTAAACATCAGACGACGATTTCCAGCACTTGTAAACACCACCTTTCAGCCTCCTAAACACACAAAATTTCAGGAGGCCTTGTTTCCATACGATCCTACGTAACAAAAACGTAACGATCCTACGTATAAAAATAAACCTTAAACTTCCATCTCCTACGGAGAACGGACAAGTCTTTGGAAGTTTTCACAAAAGCTTATCAGTTCGGACTGAGACCTGTCCGCCTCTGATGCGAATACAATACAACGTACGATCGCAATCTATCGGATGGTCCAGATATAATGGCTGTTCTTTTGTTTTTTGTTGTTCTTCATACAGTCTCAACCTTTTTGGAATTTTTTCACCAAAAGGTTTCCTATATTAACGATTCGAAAGTACGAAAAATTGAATTAGCCATTTTGTAGCGCTGACTCCGCTCTATCGGAAAATAATGAATTAGTAGGATCGCTTAACATGACTGTTTTCTTCCTCTTATTTTTTGTGATATTGTTTTTTTAGCCGCAGAGAACTGTATCATTTTCTTTCTTCTTATTTGTATAGACGACGTTTCTCTTAATCATCTGTCATCATTTTTATCTTTATTACTCAGAGTATTTTCCCATTCACATTAGCTGAAAAATAATCCTAAACCGTGTGTCATACGCTTTGAATATACCAGATTATGTTTAGGTAAAAGAATTATAAATATGTTCGATCTGAGTTAGTGTTTCAAGGAATCGACCATTAGCCAAAAACGGAAATCTTGTTATTAGTTGTAAACTAGACGAATGTATGTATTCATTTACGAGTAGATACATCAACAGATTATGTAAAACTTTTACTTTTATTCAATAGATTTATTATACGTACTTTTAGCAAAAAACATTAGTGCCATTATTATAAATATTCATTTCAGATGAAATTACGTTTTTAAAGAAACAAAAATAAATACTGAACCTTCCTATCTGGAAGAGTACAAAGCTAAATGTAAATTGTAATTTTCTGGAAACAAAAAATCGTTCTGTTTGTAATACTTTTCGTTATTCCCACCATGTTTTTATTGTTCGCTCATCAAGTGATTATAGTAGTTGATGTATTGGATTAAATAGGATTCAAACATCTATCTCTTCCACAACAGTTACTAATTCTTAACAGTCAACGACGTCTAATGGAAGACCTCAGAGATAGTCGAAAAGGGTAACGACTGCTATAATAATAAAACAATTATTGAAATGAGTAAACCTGCTAGATTTTATGAAGCCTATAGCTTTCCTCATCCTAAACCTGTAATCTCCAAAACTTCTGCTATATACGAACGTTGTGAGGAGAATGGACATTCAATGAGTTATGATGAATGACGATTGATTAATCAAGATCCGATAGAATATCTCTATTGGTGAGAAGATCTCTCTCCATCGCTAAACATATTCCTAGTCACAACAACACGATTAAGTCGGTTCCTTTAATCGTTTTTTTCAGACCTGAAGCTTTTCAGAACCTGAAGCTTTTGTATTTTTTTTAAATTTGGGATAGTCTGCGAAAAATCATTTCCTGCCATTAGGATGAAAATTTTTTGTTAAATTTACACCACCTTCGAGCGAAAAAAAATATTAAACCTCACTAGGTTTTAATATGTTCCACCGTCTGTGAATCTATCAAAGAGCAACAGCAAAATACATCAACGGTTCGACAGAAAAGTAACTGGAGTTTTAATTGAAAGCAATAGATTACGGTGAAATTTAAAGAAAGATGTGTCTGTTATATCGGTAAATGGAGAATGTTAGTGATTGAGTGATTTCAAAGAAAATATATTTGACTGTAAAAAAATATTTTCTGTACGACTTTTTTTAATGTTTTCAACAATAAATTAAACTAATAATCAGTGAACTTTAATACTGAGTCAAGATACCTTTGAATTACTTTGTCTAAATCATGTTTGACTTATGTTATAACATCAATATAATGGAATTTATTAGTTTTCTTTTTTCGTGGGTGATCGAATATGTCAGTCCGCATTTTTATTTTTATTTTTATTCAATGTACCTAAAAAAGATTCGAAACCAGCGTATTAAATAAAAATAAAAAACACGAGCTGGAGATACATATTCGACTCAATCCTCATTTTGAGCACCGTTCTTTCAAGATGGTCATTCGCGTTTAGACGTCTAATTTGAAACTGTGTGCATTAAGTTCAAAAGTTCATTTTAGATCTAAAGTCCAAATCTGCTGTCACAGTTTTTTTTTCACATGCAGACCAAAAGTTCAGATCCGAGTCTAGATTCGCTTCTAACTTACTGGTATTCTCAACACATTTTTTTGAGGTCACCGTAATCCAGAGCCTTTCATCATCGAAAAATAAATGAATTAAACAACAGAACGCAGCTAGTTTGAGCACTTTTTACAATATCGTCCAGGCTTGAGGATGAAAGTATAGTTTACCCGTATATTGTGTTTTTGAGACATAGGAGGCAAATTCTTAGGTCTTGCTTTTTTTCTTGCGGTTGCTACGTATTTATCAAGTTCCTTAAGAGAGAGAGTACGTGAGCTTATTAAAGAATAATAAATCGATGAAACATATAATACTTCTGCTATTTTAAAAACTAGAACTTATAGTCAAATACATATGATTTTACAGACGCATGCTTGGGATTCATATATAAATCAAGACATTTTTTAGTTTTTTAAGCGCTTATGTTTTAATCATAGTTAAAATCAAGAAAACAATCTGTTCTAAAGACAAAAAAAAATTCTGTTTCATATCAAATAAAAAATAGAAGCAATGAACAAAAGTGCGAGTTTTTGCCACAGATGAAGTTATTCCCTGAGATTTTACAAGTGAGATTATTAAGCAAAATAGAATACTATTTCACAAAACTACAATAAGATATATTATATTACACGAAGCTAAAACTAAAGAGATACAGAACAAGATCAATAAAGCTGAATAAACAAGTCTGATGGACTTTGCATTCAACTAGTTGAGAGAAGATCCTACATTTTAGGGTTTTACAAATATTTTAGACAGACATTTTGAACTAACGCTTTTGAATATTAAAATATAGTTCAAATATTCTATTTATTCAAGTAGAATTCTATATCTCTTATTATTCTCGAATTGTTTGCTCAAATAATGCTTTTTCTTTATTATCTGGATTATACAATCGTGTTTCCATTCTTCGCCCATTTCCCCAATCATGAAATTTGGCAATCAATTGAAATTCATCATCTGCTGATCGTCGATGATAATTTCCGTAGATACGAACAGATGTATGTTGTTCGAGTTCATAAATGGGAAAATAATATTCATAACGTCGTCCGTCCACATCACGTATTATATACCAATCGGTTAAATCACGTGGATAATCATCTGTATTCTCTATTTCAACAAATCGACCACTAACATCAACAAATTTAATCAATATATTACCTGAAACGAAAAAATTAAAAACTTTACATCTCTTACTTTGACTACCCAGTTAGTATAAAACTTTTTCGTTAAAGAAAAGAATAGTACACTGAACAAAATCGCAATCTAGGATTGCATTATATCACTCACTGTACCATCTTTGTGCGAAAAAAAGGAAAAATAGAGACAAAGACAAAAGTAAGACAATAAATGAAGGAATATGGCATTAGATAGCATCGAACAGAAACAGAATTTTGTGTGTGAATGATTTTTTATTTTGACAACGTTTAACGACATTTGCAAAATATATATATAAAAGAGCACCATCCAATCGTTTAATAAGAAAGGATGAATAGGTGTACACAGCCTAACTGAATCTCTCTATGTTTGCAATGTAGTTACACACTGCGTCATAGACAAGTTTAAATTTATCTTTATCTTCAAAGTTTGATCATAATAAAAGCGTTTTTAAGTCAATTTTAGAGTCTTCTTTCTCCAAAGCAGTGACAAGGATCAATCTAGACTGACCATAACTTGGATACTCAAAGAAAAAGTGCTTTGAGTCTTCGACTCTTCTATCAGAACATTGCTAACAGACGTTATTATCAACAAGTTTATGTGTCTTTAAATGTGCCCTCAAAGCTGAGAAATTTGTTCTCAAACGACAATAAATTGCTTCTATTTTTCTGTCCACTACCGACGGAATAATTAAGCTGGGATCGAGTAGATGATTTTTTAATTCTTCCTGAAACTTTATAGGCTGGATCCTAACGCAAAGTTGTAGCTGTACAGTCGAAAGAATATTCCACTCTTTAACGGCAGTCAGGAAAAATGAGTTATTAAAGAGACTACTTTTATCTGTGAGATCATAAAGCCGATTAGTATTGTTTGATCTCAACCCATAATGAGTATTAGGCTCAAATCTGTAGCTCAAAATCTGATGATTTGCGCGTTTGAAGATACACATCGTGCAGAAGATACACATTCTGTTGATTTAAAATAAATAAGAAAATGTTAATCAGACCAAATTCTTATTCGCTGACGAGTCCTGCATGGCTCCATTCCGCTTATTATGAATGCAATTTGACACTGAACTCGCCCTGGCTTTTTGATATTTTCTTGCGTAGTTGTAAAATAGATTTTACTTGCATAGTTGATGTTAGTCATTATAAATGTTTTATATACAGAAACTAATGCATGACGAGACATATTCCACTTCAATAGACGCATGTAGTTATGAATGGCAGCTATTTTTCCTAACGTAATTAATATGCATATCCCAAGATAAATTTGAGCTCGATTCAATCCTAGATGTTTATGAACAGGAACCTCACATACAGGATTGTTGCTAGGGCTGCCACAATTGATACTAGACAGTTCTGATTCAAAATCATCAATAATTGTCTTAATTTTCCTGTGCCTTAAATAATCCACAATTCATTTCACAACTTGCTCACAACCGTCTTTCTGCCTTAATTTATAGATTAACCCTACGTAGTTTATTTTAGACTACTTTATTCCATGTTAAAAAATTGAGATTAATTAAGAAACAACTAATATTTAAGTCATTCTTACCTTTATATTTTCGTGTTATATGAATTTTTTTCTGCAATAGTTCTTCGTCAATTTCCGGTAACTTTTGTGGAACAGGCTGAGGCGATGGATAAGTAAGTTTTCGAGTTGTTCTCATTGTTGTTTTATTTATATCGGTCAGATTTTGTTCGTAACCATATTTTGCCGTATCCATTTCCGATTTATGTTGTTCGACATAACTTGAAGATGATGACGGTAGACGCTCACTCTCACTACTCGGAGAACTGTGCCGAGATAGACCATCATGTTGCCAACGATGAACAGCACCATTAGGCTAATGATAAAAGAAAAGAATATTCGTCTGTTTGAAAGAGTTTAACCAATTTTTTCAATATATTACTTGTTCAATCATGATAATTGGAACAGTATGATCATGTTCTTGCTTTTTTGCTATTGAACTACTAGTCGTTGCTGTTGTTACTAGCGTCCCTAATGTTGAATGCCAATTTCTATCCTCACTCTCTCTCGGTGTCCGAGTCGTTGTTGTTGTTACTAGCGTCTCTAATGTTGAATGCCGATTTCTATCCTCACTCTCTCTGGGTGTCCGAGTCGTTGCTGTTGTTACTAGTGTCTCTAATGCTGAATGCCGATTTCTATCCTCACTCTCTCTGGGTGTCCGAGTCGTTGCTGTTGTTACTAGTGTCTCTAATGCTGAATACCGATTTCTATCCTCATTTTCTCTCGGTATCCTCGTCATTTTGTCGGGGGTAGTGACCTGCCGTTGAATAATATTAATTCTTTCACCTTTCTTTCGATGTAATGAATTTAATAAGGCTTCATATATTTTTAGTTCTTCTTCAACGCTAAACCTAAGATTATACCCTAATCTATCTAATTCATCTTTTAATTGATAATATTCTTGTCTTAATATATCTGTTGACTGTTTTAAATATTCTTGTTTATCGTAATCTTTTCGTTGTTGTGAATCTTGTTCTGATTCTAAATCTAGTAATAGACGACGTTTACGTTGGGTATCTTCTAATAAACGTCGATATTCATTATTCCAGTGATCGTGTTCCCGTTGTCTTTCTTCCATTCTACTTTCAAGACGATGTATCTGATCTAGGCGTTGTTGTTCATCTAAGAAGAAAAATATAGATCTGTACATTAACTATTTCAAAAAGTAATATAGAATAATAAGCTAGCTCAATTCAAGTTTAGAGTTACAATAATTTTTGTCACATAACCCGAATATCGAAGTGAAATATTCCAACAAAATTTTGACATTCTGTTCCTCTTTTATCGTTTCGATGAGATACTTTTTTTTTTTAAATAAAGTTAGAAAACGGTATTCCGTATTTTCTTTGTATTTTTTAGACGAATAGAGTCCGAAGACATCTCACTGGAAAAGTTTATTCTACAATTTTAGATATTACATAGGCGTGGTCGTTCTTTCTTTGAAAATCAATAAGAAAAACAAAATGTTAATACAATATTTCATCTCGACATCAGAGGTGTGCGCGCCGATTGTATTAAAATCTCCTGTGACAAGATTATCTTACTTTGATCAGAGATGGGTACTCCCATAGAAATTTTTTTCTGCACTTCTGATAATCTTGTTTTTAATGTTTGTTCTAATTCTTGTTGTTGTTCTTTTGCCATTTGTTCATAATCATTGTATATTTGTTGTTTAATCGTTTCTAAGTAGTCTTTATAATAGTTTTTAGAATCATGTGAAAAACGTTGTAATAATCGTTGCCATTCTTGAATTTCTTCTTGATTATAGGCCAATTTTAAATTATATTGTTCTTTCAATGATTGTATATCATTTAAAAGATGTTGTTTATCTAAAGCTAATTGTGACCATTCTATCATATACTGACGAAATTTTTCTATTTCATTTCGATAATCTTCATCTAATTTTTTTACTTGTTGATCACTCAATTGTAAACGATGTTGAATTTTTTTCAATTCATCTTCTAATTCAAATTGTAAATCTTTAATAATGTTACATTTATCTTTATATAAATTTAATACGTCAATATACATCGAACTTAGACGATTTAGAAATTCTGCTTGTTCATCAAATATTTTTGATTCAACATTGAAAATAATTTTTTTTCGATTAATATCTTTTAATTTTGATAATGTTTGATCTAAATCTTGTAATAGACGAAAACGATTTTCTCCCGTTATACCCCAACTATCAATTAATGAATGAATATCATCTGACAATTGTTTATTAGCTAATTCAAGACTATCTAAATAGCCGATAAGATCTTCGAGACGATCATTTAACGAGTGTAAATGTTGTTTTTCCATTTCATCACGATTTTGTATGACTGTAATATCTTTAATAATTTTAGATCCACCATCATCACTCATCACATCATGTATTATACCAGCGGTATTTTGAGCAGACACCGTACTTGTAAAACGTTGCATTAATGCCATAGATTAATAATATTAGAGAACAAATATTATTAAATCATCTCAAAATTTAAACTAAAATAAGAACAGATAAAGAGTCTACGAATGGATGGAAAAATTAGTTTAATATTTTTTTAATTAGAATTAATGAACGCTAATTTACCATATTATAGGAGAAGGACCAAATGTCCATTGAAGTATAACCATATAATCTAAATAGTCTTTTCTTTTGTGGTTAGAGAAAAAAAAAATACTGTTTCATCTTGTTTCTATTACTGACTATTTCTTGTATGTCAAAAATGGTGTAGGAAGAGAAGAAAAAATGTTGTATTCAAAAATTCATTAAAAATGCTATCATCTGTTATTCGTTGTATGACATTTTAAATCATTCAAAAGTCATTATGAATTCTATATTCTGATTTATATAGGCAACTACCTTGAGTTTTTACATTCATTGCGGTTATTCTTATATTTAGTAAAAAATATTTTTAGTTTAGTAGTGATACGGAAGAATCAATGTCATTTGATAAAAACATAAATTTGTCAGATAATTCTTTTGTGGTTTATAATTAAGGTCCTTTTTAAAGAATTAACAGTACAAATAAACTAAAATAAACAGAATATTCTAGGGAAGACAGAGATAGATGCTTCCAATGGTAGAATACAAAATCTGTCTAAAACAAGATGATCTAACTAGCAAGAACTATTTAAAAGTCATTAAACTCCATATATTATTGTCATCAAACAAATCTCGTAAATATCTCGGTCACAAGTACAGAACTGATGTATATCTATCAATTCATTTATTGATTTCAAAGAAGTGGCAACAGACGTTTGCTCAATATCAAGTCATCTATTCTCATTCTACAGCTATTGAATTTTGTTCAAATTTAAGAAAAAATATCTTGTAATGATGCTAATCGAATAAAATATGTTTTTACTTTATATTTTTGTTTATATTGAATTAATGCGCAAAACAAAATCACATAATTTTACCAGAACACATTGATGAACAAATCGACAGCGTAATGTTCTAGCATTTAGTGTGGTAGAAACAAGTAGATTGTGATTTTTATGTTTATAATTTAAGTTTTCCTATGTTTTATATTGTACATATCTTGTGTGGATTCTTCTTATTCGATTATTCAAAAAACTGGTGACATACATTCACTTCTTTTCTACTTGTCGCATTTTCTACTTAATTATTTTCACATATTGATCTGACCAACTTATATGACATTCATTCTCATCATATTAGCACATCTAAGAAAATCTGCAAAATTTAGGTGGTTTACGATACTCCGAAGCTTGCAACGATTAAGCGTTAAAAACAAAGTCTTCATGTACAGATGTTGTTGTGCAGAAACTAGCGAACATCTAAGTGACCAGTAGAAAGTTCTTGATGCCCTAGTGAATGCATTTGAAGCAAAGCACATGATGATTACTTGCTGAGTACTTGGAAAGTACTTGACAAGTTTCCTTATTTACTAAACATTTAGAGTATATTACTAAACAAAAGTAGTGTATGGTGCAGAATGCGTACAAAATACAAAGATAAATGAACAAGTACCTCGTGAAAGTTTTTCAAGCAAATTTACTTGTACTGGATTCAAGTGGTTGGACAAGGACTTGATAAGTGACTCAAAGTACGTATAAGTAAAACTACTTATGGAAAAACACCAGGGACTGGCTTCATTACTAGTACCAAGAACTATTTCAAGTACTTGGTTCCAAGCACATTCACTAGGATAGTACTCGCTTAAATAGCAGAACATCGAGCGATACGACTACTAATTCGAGTAAAACCTCATTGTCGAAACAAAATACCGTTTTACTGTGTGCGAAAGTGTCAAAAAAGCAACACTTCTCCAAGCATCAGCTAAGGTAACTCAGCGCGGTCTCATCACTCGCTCTCAAGCCGACAGTTTACTGGCGTCCGTTCAGAATTTGGATCAGAGTGTTATTGAAGACATGTACAATAAGCTTTGCGCTGTGAAAAGTAAAAACAAAAATAAACCTTACAACAGATAAAAATTTCGAAATTGTATTACGAGAGAAGCAACGGTATTTGTTAGTTAAAGAATTAGTCATTAGAGCTACTTCTTCGAAACTCAATGGCAACGGTCGTTCTCTACCATTGTATGTATGTTCCAATGGAATAAAATCAGAATTGTGAGGCAGAAAAAAGATACCACGCAAGGTTTCCGGCTCTGAATACACGGGATTTCCCCTCAGTCAGCACCATTTCGTAGTTCCTCTTAACATCAGGGCGATCCATCACTCACTGGAAGGTTACTTTCTCTAGTAGTTATTGTTCATTCGAAAATGATAAGTGACTCAAAGAATCCGAGGAGGAAGGAAAGTATTCCTCACAAGATTATTTATTCTCATTCTTGCGGTTCCATAGATAGAAAATAGTTTAATATCTTGGTAGTATTTATATGCATGGGAGAGGGGAAAAATAATAGTTTGACGCATTCAAATATATATATATATGAGTGAATTACATAACTATTGTACCGTTTGAGAAAAAACACGGTAATAAAGAGTTTTAAATAAACAAAATCGGAGTCGTACATTTGATAAAGCTACATCGATTGTGTATAAACATAATATTTTTCCGGTACTTTAGAGTTTGAGAAGGCTCCGATACAATGACTTTGAAGAACTACCCAATCCGTAGTGCTAGGTATTTCCACACAGATTCGCCCACTTTATACAAAAGTTTCAGCCGGGCGAATCTTACTATGCTCATCAGATAGAGGATGTCAAGTTACAGATACAGCGAAATATTTTTATTGAAAAAGATTAGCTCTTTGGTGGTGAAATAGTGCTTTCAAAAGTACCAAACGGTACCACTATGATCTTTAGAAAACGGTGTGTTCGAGAGGAAAAACCCTTATCGTTTTCTTTGAATAAAAAACAACGTATAGACTTAATAAGCTTTTTGTGATGTCAGGCAAATAGCCCGGATGTCAGCAAATCGTATGATGTATGATGAGTTGAAATTTTAAATTATTTTGATCGAAATATAGACAAGACAATCTCGGTGGACATTTTTGATGTAAAATGAGATTTTCTCTGTAATAAGACAAGCTAGAGAGTTGCCGTTTTTATCACATACCCTGGACAGCAAATGAAAAAAAGGATAAAGGGTTCGACTCTGACGGATAAACGGTTCCGTAGTTATAGACCAAACAATTTTCAAAATCTCGGTGGACATTTTATACAAAAAACCAGATTGATTACATGTTTCATCCTGATTTTCGATTGGATAAAAAAGAAAATCTTTTTTATCCAAAATGTAGCGCTTTGTACGCTCTATCTTTTTGTCTATTTTAACTTTTCAGGATTCGTCATTGGCATATTAATGTAGTTCTAATCTCGGTGGACAGAATTTTGCAAAAGTGTTGGTAAACAGAGTTTTTTGATAAAACCAGAGTCAAAATATGATTTTATTTAAATTCAAAGTACGTATTCTGAAAACCTACTTTACAAGCTACAAGAAACGCTAAAAAACTTTTAGAACTAGTTTAAATAAATCAGAGAAAAAATTTGATTCTTTCTCCAGATGGTGCTAAAAACAGCCAACTTTGGTCTTGTTTGATCTATATCTCAGCACCCATTTGGGATGGAGAGTTCTTTTTCTCACAAGTGTGAATGACCGTTACTGGACAAACAAAATAAAACAAAGAAATTTAAAATCGGTTGAGCAGAACAGGTTTTTATAAGCAAAACATTCTCCGACAACCAACGATACAATGATTATGCAATTCGCTCATATACATCTATACACACCTGCGTATTATTTTCTTCTAAATATAACATCTTGTACCTGATATATACTTGATAATGACCGTATAACTAGGTCCAAAATTTGTATTTTTAACAATTTCTAATAAACTCTTAATTATGTTGACTAAACTGAAGGGTGTTACTACCACATATGTATTAAAATTTCTATCTCTTATCTTGCCCTTTACATACTAATAATGTAATTAATGTTTTATTTTTATTGTTTTACAAAACATTCTTCCGTAGATTTATCTGTTTATTTTATTTTATTTAAATTTAGTTTTCCTAAATGATGACATGTTCCTCTATGTTTTCCACATTATACGACATTCTTTTTTTTTTGATTAACAAAAAAAACAACAAAACGGTTAAATAAAGAGAAACAAAAAAACTGAGAAGATCATGCCATTTCATGTTTGTTGTTGTTTTTTCTCATCTCAATCTTCTTGCTTCACGTTCGGATTCTAGTAAAACAAGTACATCATCAATTCGAACTGGACCCTTCACATTGCGAATAATACTTCGTTTTGATGTTGACGTATCTAAAAAAGAGATTAAATTATCAATGTTTCGTTGATTTTCAGAACTTAAAACACAAATGCCGAGGAATCATGCAGGAAAGCCCTCTGAATAAGTTTTGCAGTCAGAAAAAGAAACGAAACTGCTAACCCTTTAGTGTTCCTATTGAAGTAACCTATGATTATTTCTTTCTTAATAAATTGAATGAAAAATTAGGATAGGTCATATGTACACTGGTTTTTTCTACTAAAACTGATGTTTAGTCCTTTGATCCTCTCTGTGTCAGTTTTACAAATATTGCAAGTATTTACGCACCTATTATTTCTACACGAACTTGTGTACATTGTCCTTGACTGCCTGTTCTTCCTAATATTTTAACAACACGTGCCATAACTCCACCAGTCGTATTCTTTTCCATTTTTGACTACTTGTTTTATTTAACAGACTTTCCTTAGTGGAAGAGTGTTTGATCTAGAATAAATATACAAACGAACGGTAGAAACGACAATTTAATTCAACAACCCATAGAAATATCTTTTCTACTACAGCCTTACAACAAAAGTAGATAGATCACCATTTTTTCGAGTCTAAGTCGTATCAAAAACTGACTCGAGTCATTTTTTGAAAGTAAAATTCCTACTGATTCATTTTCCACAAACGGCTTTTAACTTATATTTGTTGTGCAGTCTCTCACGCTCCCTATTCAGATA